GGCTGGCTGAGGCCGCACATTGGCAGCTCTCGGACGAAGTTCGCTTGATGCGGTTTTTGTCTACTATGCGGGGCAAATTTTAGCGATCAAAGCGTTCGCTATGCGGAATTGTTCGCTATGCAAGGCGTTCGCTATGCGGGGGTCCACTGTTATATATATATATATATATATATATATATATATATATTATATATATATATATATTATAATATAATATTATATATACAGTGGACCCCCGGTTAACGATATTTTTTCACTCCAGAAGTATGTTCAGGTGCCAGTACTGACCGAATTTGTTCCCATTAGAAATATTGTGAAGTAGATTAGTCCATTTCAGACCCCCAAACATACACGTACAAACGCACTTACATAAATACACTTACATAATTGGTCGCATTCGGAGGTAATCGTTATGCGGGGGTCCACTGTGTATATATATATATATATATATATATATATATATATATATATATATATATATATATATATATATATATATATATATATATATATATATACATACATATACATACATATACATATACATATACAGCCTCTCCTCACTTAGTGACGTACTTGTTTACCGACTAATTGGACTTACAACTGGCTCTCTGACCAGTATTCATACCTAAATAATGTATATTAGAGCTGATTTAGTCTATTCTGTTTATGACAATATACGGTACACTATTGTATAAAAATTTAAAAATATACTAAAAATGTTATAAATGGTGAAAAGGCGACATTAAAACATTATCAAAGATGGTTGACACAGACTCGCTAATATTATAGTATGCTCCTTGCTCAGTGATGAATTCGTTTACCAATGTGGCCCTAGGAATAGAACTCCGTCGTTAAGCGAGGAGAGGCTGTGTATATTTTATATATATATATATATATATATATATATATATATATATATATATATATATATATATATATATATATATATATATATACACAAACACACACACACACACACATAATATATGTCTCATAACAATACTGCAACCAGCTGAGAATCAAACCTGGGACATTTAGCCAGGTTCTTGGAAACTAAGCTAACTCCCCAATGCCTTAGCCCATCAACATGTGCTGAGGCATTGAGAGGTTAGCTTGGTTCCCAGGAGCCTGGCTAAATGTTCCAGATTCAGTTTCCTGCTGGTTGCTTAAAGCCACTTTGTTTTATCGATGCTTTAATATGTGAACTGCTTGTGAGACTGGTATTCCAAATGGGAGAAGAATGAAATTAGTCCTGTAGTATCCACAACCACGAATGTATTCATGAACATCAGGAGTGGCAGACCCAGTGTACTCACTGGGTCCTTGATGTTTGTAGCATGGTGGTCCAGTGGGTTAAGGTGTTAGGAGGTTAGCTTGGGTCCCAGGAGCCTGGCAAAATGTCCCGGGTTCGATTCCCTGCTTGTCGCAGTATTGTTATTTGCTTAAAACCACTTTGTTCTGTGGATACATTAATACCTTATGATCAGAAAGTAGAGAAAATAATTTGTGGCAGTGACCCTTTATTTTTTGGGGGGGTTGGGCAAACAGTTGTAACACACTAAGATGTAAGTAGGAGTATCACAGTTCCCATTGTAGCTAAGGACAATAGTTAAATAAGATTCACAGTATAGCCTTAATGTGTTGAAGAGTTGCAATGTCTTCCACCCAAGACCCATAAGGCTTTCCAAAATTAAGATAGAATATTTATATAATACTATACATATTATTTTCTTTTCAGTATTTTTAGACATTCTTAAAGAAACTCTACCTAAATTTATGGAATAGGTTCATTGATTTACCCTACAAATTTACAAAACAGTTACACAATCTGGAGGATGCACCCTACAACCTAAAAAAAGTTATGTCATGTTGCACTTGTCGGGAAGTTGGCAGTTTGTGTACAGCCTCACAAAACCCATTATGACAAGGATGTCTAAGGTGCCTTCAGTGTGCCAGTATTAGTGGAGAGTAAATATGTGATAGTGCGCATTTTGTACACACTTAGTTAATTATGATATTTGTGGAATTTTGACAATAAACGGCGAGTGTAGAGGATATACAATGCAGTGTTAAACTATAAATATAAATCAAAACTGTAATGTAAGTTGTATGTTACAGAATAATATTTAGGACAAGACTATGTGAATCAAATTCATATTAGCAGCAATGCTGATTATTTGATTGGCTGTACTATCCAATCAGTAATATATAATTACAAAACATTAAAATTCAAGTTCTTAGTGATGTGTAAACATGAAAGGTAGCCATTTGTATTGATATAAAGTAGTCAAGCACTCACTAAAAACTTGTTCATTATTCATAATCCTAAATGTGCTCTTTTCCAAATTGCCTCTTGATAACTTAATTTTTTTTAAGTCTTTGTCTAGATACAGCTAACAGTTTTCACTTGACCTCAATTATGTTGCACCTTAGAGTACACTTATACTCAGGCAGCCAATAAAATGAAAATCTTTTGCTAACATGTCTGGTATTGTACTTGTTACTATTGCTAGTATGCAAGAGATAAATTGTGGCATTTTGCAGGGAAACAAACATGAGTGTGACTCATTTGTGGAGAAATATACTTAAGTCACTGTACTCATTGTGGCCTGCATACTGTACCATAGTAGTGGTAATCACAACAGTGTATCTAGTAAGTCATTAGAGCTGATAAGTGGACACCTAATGCATTAACTTCCTGTACAAAATGAATGAGGTATTATAATTTGTGTAAATGTAATCACTCTTATTTTTTTTCAAATGACTAAGGTAAACATAATTTATAAGAGTGCAAACACAGTCTGCATTTACCTCTGACCAAGACTTCATGTGTAATGAAGTTGAAAGCAAGATTAGTTAAATAATGTTTTTCCATGGTTCAAAGAGGTAGGAAAAATATTCTAGTGACTAGTAATGACTTACTGACTGACTACTATCAACTGACTTGGTTGCTGTGCAACTCTGATCCCATGACACTGGTGCTAGGATTGGCAAGTTGGAAAAGAGTTTGTGTTTAGGATATCTGGTATTGTATTACCATGTCTTGGCAAGGGTAATTGAGTCTGGGGTAAATCTCGATTCATGCCCTAAATTGCTTGTTATTGTACTTTATTGTTATTATCTATATCATCATCATCAGTTTACCATTTTGAGTTTTGGGTATTTTTTAGTTAATTTTTATGGTTTCCAGATTTGGAAAGAATCTGTTATTGTGGATATGGCCAACTGGTTTGCCAAATTAATTATACAACAGTAATAACTGATAAGTACAAAGTATGTATTTCAAGTTGTGTAAGTTTTTTATTTGCTGATATGAAAAAATACCAGTGAGTTTTCAAAAGTCATTGTAAATGTATGTATATTTTAGTACACAAGATTATTAAACCTGTTTACTGTGGTATGGGTTGCTTGGGCAGATTTTAGCAATTTAATGTAAAAACAGTTTTTGATGGAAGTTTCATGTAACCCACACTTGAAGTGTATTATAATGTTTTATATTGCAAGATTGATTTTTGGGGAAAAAGTTATTTCATTGTGAGTCATGATGACTTGCATCAATTCACTGATGTATACTACCTTTACTTTATGAGCCCATATGCCAAAGACTTTACACCACATAACAGGGTAATGTGGTGATTTTAAAAGTTTGCACCATGTTTAACTTTTTACAGTTGATATGAAAGAGAAGGGATATTGCTCGTTTTTTTTTTTTTTTTTTTTTTTTTTTTTTTTTTTTTTTTTTTTTTTTTTTTTGTATCGACTGCAGATATTTACCAGTGTTGCCAATGTGCACAAATTGTTTTGACTAATAGAACTGTTATAGAAAGTATTATATATGGAAAGAAACACTACAAGTGTGTGAAGTACATAATTTTTTTTAATTGATATTTGACCAGTCTGCTTTGTTGACTAAGTGGGGGGGGGGGGTAATTAAAATGATGCTGCTACTCCATATGACTGGAAATAAACATATATTAGTGGAAAATTTAATGATGTAGTGCAACGAGCTGGGATTTTTTTGTGGCGAGGGGAAATGTAATGCAGACTGGCTGGTTACATGTGCAGCTTCCTAGGGTAGTCAGCTGGTTCCCAGTTTGGGAATAGATGAATGCTGTGCACTAATTGGCAACACTTGTTTTCTGCAAGCCAAAGATGCTCATTGAGTTGCTGTACAGGTTCAGGTTGTTCGAGCTTAGATTAGAAATAGAGAAGTGTGGTTTATATTGTGTGTACAGATAAAATATAATATGGAAGTCTTAGATTTTTTAAACAAAGATAACGTCCCAGTTTTAGGTCATTGATGGACCTTTTGTTGATTAACCACCAAGTGGTTTGTTTCTCATGTTCAAATATATGGTGGGTGTGTTCCCTGTAGGCCATGTAGGCCTACTAGTAAGATGTATATTTTGTCTCTGTAAGCGATATTGGGAAACACACACCCACACTTGAGCATTGTTGCCTCTCTCTACCTGTCTCCTACTGGTCAGTCTGCAGAGGCCAACTTCCATAATCAAAACTGCTTTGTTAGTATTAATAAATATCGTACTTTAAGTTTATGCACTATACATATATTATTACTGGTGAAATAAAGAAATATTAATATTATTTTATAAATGTTTTTAAAAATAGTGTACAGTATATCAGATAAACTATATATGGACCAGATAGCACTGCAGACTGAAAGTGGTATTGGCCTTCCTCAAAACCAGTTTTTCACACCATCCTGTTTTCTGCCTTACATCATTACAGCCATTATCTAGGACCGTATTAGTCAAATATCTTGATTATCCACAACTTGATATTTTTGTATTTGTTATATATATTCACATCCATGGTTTACACACAAACCATGAAAAAAGAATCTTAGATGAATATCAAAGTCTGAAGTCAGGATCGTTTTAAAACTTGACTTGGTCTTAGATTATTGAGATATTGATGTATTTCATGAAATTGTCATCTCAGCCCCTCATAATTCCCATTCTTCTCCCTGTGTACAGGAGCAATCTGTTTGCTGCACTTCTGGACACCACTACCTAAGAGGTATCTCGATATTATACCATTTTCTTCTTTTGCTTTAACGAACGTGTCAAGCTTTATCCAATACACAATTTCAACTTGTTGCATTTATTTTATTATCCTCTTATAATCTAGTATCAATTCTATAATTTTTAGTAAAAATTTTCACATTTTCTTAAGTACTAAAGAGAAAATATAAGAAATTTGAAGTAGATATTTTAAAGATAATACCTCTATACATAAGGCTAAGTACCCAATGTCACCAGGACAAAACAATGATTTTATAATTAATATTTCCTATTAGTTATAGAGAAAATCCCCCTCAAGGGATGCTGACGAGGGGCTCTTGATCTGTGCTTCGGTTCCCTGAATACCTTCCATTCCCCCCCCCCCTATGTACTGTATAATCCTATGGGTTTAACACTTCCGTGATTATTACATAGAGGAAATCATCTATTTTCTAAAGTATGAATCAGCTTAACCCTTTGACTGTTGCAACCCCCAATCCTGAGGTGTCTCCTGGTGTTGCAAAATTTAAAAAAAAAAAAAATTTTTTTTTCTTATGAAATGATAGAGAATCTTTTCCCGATTGTAATGACACCAAAAAAACAAAATTTGACGGAAAACTGACGGAATTATGCTCTCGCAACATTGGCGATTTCGCCCACTTTGAGCCCTATTTTCGGCTAATTCCAAACTCATAGCTATTTCTTTACAACTCCATTTTTTCTATCGATTGAGTACAAGAAACTGCCCATTTACCGATTTCAACTACCTAATAATGTGGTCATAAAATTTGCAATTTGGCCAATTTCAAAATAAGGTCCAGAATGAACAATGCAGACATTCCTGGCTCTAAAATAACATTTTCTTTGCTCATCAGTCATGTCTCCAGGCCCCTCTGATATTACTCTTGCTTTCTATTTTGAATTTTTATTCAAACAAAAAATAGAAGACTTACTATTATGCAGACTACTGCAATATTGTAATAATTGTATAAATAACATCAACCCATTCATGACTGCATATTAGAATGGCTAGTTGGACATTTATTGGACAATGGCATCATTTGTTTACTTTTGAACATTGGCAAAAATCAAACATTTCCCCTACTTTGAGCTCCATTTCTAGGTTCTTTTTATAGTAAAATCAATCAAAATCACCTCTATGTTTTCCATTCTATCAAATGAGACCACAACCATAAATACTATACGAAAATAGACCACAAAGTCGGCATTTTAATTAAAAAAAAAAAAAAAACGGTCTGAGTTTTTTTTTTTCTCATTATGCACTGCGTGCTCCAGGATTTTTTTTTATATGATGCACACAGACCCATTCTCTCACATGTGGGCCTACCAGCTTTCTCCTGCTTGATTTGAAGCCGCTAGAATTTATGAGTATATATACGTCAAACATGGTACCTCGTAAGACGTATATATACGGCCGCGACAGTCAAAGGGTTAAAGGTAATAGCTACAGTGGACCCCCGGTATATGATACATTTTAATGCAAAAATTTTGCCTCGCCACTCGTTAAAAAACCTGCCACACGCGATTCGTCCGGGACGCATCCACATGCGGCCTGAGCTGCCCCGTGCTCGCATCTAAGCATACATTCGGTACATTCCATATTATCAGTGTTTTTGGTGCTTGTTTCTGCAAAATAAGTCACCATGGGCCCCAAGAAAGCTTCTAGTGCCAACCCTTCGAGAAAAAGGGTGCTAATGACTATTGAAATGAAGAAACAGATAATTGCAAAGTACGAAAGTGGAGTGCGTGTGTTGGAGCTGGCCAGGTTGTATACAAAACCCCAATCAACCATTACTACTATAGTGGCCAGGAAAACGGCAATCAAGGAAGCTGTTGTTGCAAAAGGTGCATGTCTGTTTTCGAAACAGAGATCGCAAGTGTTAGAAGATGTTGAGACTGTTATTGGTGTGGATAAATGAAAAACAGATAGCATCTCTCAAGCGATCATATGTGAAAAGGCTAGGAAGTTGCATGAGGATTTAACTGAAAAAATGCCTGCAACTAGTGGTAATGTGAGTGAATTTAAGGCCAACAAAGGTTGGTTTGAAAGATTTAAGAATCGTAGTGGCATACATAGTGTGATTAGGCATGGTGAGGCTGCCAGTTCGGACCAAAAAGCAGCTGAAAAATATGTGAAGGAATTCAAGGATTACAGAGACAGTGAAGAATTCAAACCTGAACAAGTGTTTAATTGTGACGAAACAGGCCTGTTTTGGAAGAAATTGCCAAGCAGGACCTACATTACTCAGGAGGAAAAGGCACTCCCAGGACATAAGCCTATGAAAGACAGGCTTACTCTTCTGATGTGTGCCAATGCTAGTGGTGATTGCAAAGTGATGTATCACTCAGAAACTCCCAGAGTGTTCAGGCAAAACAATGTCCTCAAGGCTAATTTGTGTGTGCTGTGGAGGGCAAACACTAAGGCATGGGTCACTAGGGACTTTTTCTATGATTGGTTACACCATGCATTTGCCCCAATGTGAAAAATTACCTAATTGAAAAGAAATTAGACCTTAAGTGCCTCCTGGTATTAGACAATGCCCCTGGTCATCCTACAGACTTGGCAGAGTGACTTTCTGGGGACATGAGCTTCATTAAGGTCAAGTTTTTGCCTCGTAATACCATTCTCCTCTCCTGCAGCCCATGGACCAACAGGTCATTTCCAACTTCAAGAAACTGTACATAAAAGCTATGTTTCAAAAGTGCTTTGAAGTGACCACAGACATGCGATTGACTCAGAGTTTTGGAAGGATCACTTTAATATCCTCAATTGTGTAAACCTTATAGGCAAGGCTTGGGAGGGAGTGACTAAGAGGACCTTGAACTCTGCTTGGAAAAAACTGTGGCCAGAATGCATAGACAAAAGGGATTTTGAAGGGTTTGAGGCTAACCCTGGGAATTCTATGCTACTTGAGGAATCCATTGTGGCATTGGGGAAGTCCTTGGGGTTGGAGGTTAGTGGGGAGGATGTGGAAGAGTTTGTGGAGGAGGACAATGAAGAACTAACCACTGATGAGCTGCTAGATCATTTTCATCAGCATGAGGCCACACCTGAGGAAACTGCTTCGGAGGAGGGGATAGAGAAATTGAAGAAGTTGCCTACTTCTAAGATTAAGGAAATCTGTGTAATGTGGCTTAAAGTGCAAACCCTTATGGATGAAAAATCACCCTGACACAGCTACTGCAAGCCGTGTTGGCAACCTGTACACTGACAATGTTGTGAAACACTTTAGAAATGTCATAAAGGAATGGGAGGTACAGGCCTCTATGGACAGAAGCTGGTCCTAGTGGCATTAAAAGAACAAGGGAAGTAACCCCGGAAAAAGACTTGCTACCTCAAGTCCTAATGGAAGGGGATTCCCCTTCTAAACACTAAGAAGATCAACACTCTCCCCTCCTCCCATCCCATCAATCACCAGATCTTCAATAAAGGTAATTGTCATGTAACTGTGCATGTCTTCTTCAGTTTGTGTGTATTAAAATTAATATTTCATGTGGTAAAATTTTTTTCAATACTTTGGGGGTGTCAGGAACGGATTAATTTCATTTCCATTATTTCTTATGGGGAAAATTAACTCGACTAACGATAATTTCGATTAGCGATGAGCTCTCGGGAACGGATTAATATCGCTGGTTGAGGGTCCACTGCACATGTACAAGGTATACAGGCCAAGCTGACATCCATATATATATATATTTTTTTTTTATTAACACACTGGCCGATTCCCACCAAGGCAGGGTGGCCCGAAAAATAAAAACTTTCACCATCATTCACTCCATCACTGTTTTGCCCGAAGGGTGTTTTACACTACAATTTTTAAATCAACATTAACACCCCTCCTTTAGAGTGCAGGCACTGTACTTCCCATCTCCAGGACTCAAGTCCTGCCTGCCGGTTTCCCTGAATCCCTTCATAAATGTTACTTTGCTCACACTCCAACAGCACGTCAAGTATTAAAAACCATTTGTCTCCATTCACTACTCCTATCAAACACGCTCACGCATGCCCGCTGGAAGTCCAAGCCCCTCACACACAAAACCTGCTTTATCCCCTCTCTCCAACCTTTCCTAGGCTGACCCCTACCCCGCCTTCCTTCCGCTACAGACTGATACACTCTTGAAGTCATTCTGTTTCGCTCCATTCTCTCTGCATGTCCAAACCACCTCAACAACCCTTCCTCAGCCCTCTGGACAACAGTTTTGGCAATCCCACACCTCCTCCTAACTTTCAAACTACGAATTCTCTGCATTATATTCACACCACACATTGCCCTCAGACATGACATCTCCACTGCCTCCAGCCTTCTCCTCGCTGCAACATTCATCACCCATGCTTCACACCCATATAAGAGCGTTGGTAAAACTATACTCTCATACATTCCCCTCTTTGCCTCCACAGACTCCTAAGTCCACCGCTCACCCTTTTCCCCTCATCAATTCTATGATTCACCTCATCTTTCATAGCTCCACCCGCTGACACGTCCACTCCCAAATATCTGAATACATTCACTGCCTCCATACTCTCTCCCACCAATCTTTCATCACCTAATCTTTTTATCCTCATAACCTTACTCTTTCCTGTATTCACTTTTAATTTTCTTCTTTTACACACCCTACCAAATTCATCCACCATCCTCTGCAACTTCTTTTCAGAATCTCCCAAGAGCATAGTGTCATCAGCAAAGAGCAACTGTGACAACTCCCACTTTGTGTGTGATTCTTTATCTTTTAACTCCACACCTCTTGCCAAGACCCTCGCATTTACTTCTCTTACAACCCCATCTATAAATATATTAAACAACCACGGTGACATCATACATCCTTGTCTAAGGCCTACTTTTACTGGGAAATAATCTCCCTCTTTCCTACATACTCTAACTTGAGCCTCACTATCCTCGTAAAAACTCTTCACTGTTTTCAGTAACCTACCTCCTATACTATACACCTGCAACATCTCCCACATTGCCCCATGATATACTACTACTAGTATATAGAAAGCCACTTGATATGCCAAGCATTTCAGGCAAATTAGATCAGTTTTGTCCCAAGATGCGACTAACACCCAGGTACCGAC